GGATCTTCTACATCTGTTGTGTTTTATTTTAATGCTGAATTTGCATGGATCCTAAGGGATTATAGTTTTTTAAAGATAATTTCCTTTCATATGATTTTTTGAACCTACTTCATCTAAACACCGTTAATCTTCATGATTCCATACCTACCGACGGTTTCATTTGGAGGATGTCGGACGTATGATACACCAGTTTAAGCGAAATGCTCTTCCCTTACCGGATGTGTGATGTTTGTACCATTTTTTTAATGTAATCATTTCTCGTCTGGTCTAATCTTTTATCACCGTACACCCATCTTAATAGATGCACTTCTGCCAGACTCATCTCGTGGAAATCTTGGACTTTAGAGGTCCAATATGTACTCTTATATAGCATCATTGGTCTTACAACTATTTAATAAAATTTGCTTCACTTTAATAGGTATCTTTCTATCACAAAATACTCCCATATCCCTTTGATCATCCTGTTTTCATTTCATTCATCAATGATGCTGGTGTTGATTGAACCTGATCGACCCAAAAGGCATGGCCAAGTCCAAGATGAGCACGACCATCATAAATTAGGTATCTGGTGAACTTAGTAGTTTGCTTGGAATATTAAAGCGGTAAAAGTTTCACTCATGGATAGAGACATGGAAACGCGGAAGGCTTGTAGTCTTGCCTTTTCATCCTCGGGTAATTGAACTCCCTTGAGATAGGAACAATAAAGAGTAAAAGATGGCTTCACCTTATAATCATTCTGTAATAGGTTAGTGTAAGAAGAGAACTGGAATTTTCTCACTTCTCAATTTGGCTGTCTAGGCACCAGGAAAGTGTTCGTTTCTGTTTGGACAGTTGCATAGGAACTATGCTGAGAACTTGAAAAACAAAGAAAAATTCAAATGAGCAAGTCTTTATGCGAAGTAGGGTGGTGATCATATCAATCATATAAATAGATTGCAATGCATCTGGTGGAATATGTTTGGCGCATAATCAGCGGTTGTTAGACATTATTTGAGATTTGTTACTACAATGGATTTCTGGAGGAAGAGGAGGAAATTAAGACATGGGAAAGAGCTCATTGACGTTAATATGAACTATAAAAAAAGCGCTCAAGGGAGTTGAGAACTCTTTTCCAACAGAGTGCGACACCTCCTTATTTTCTGTATACTTTTGGAGAGCACGTGATATTTTAGGAAGTATTGATGCAGGATGCTATTTAAGGGAATAATGTTTTTATGTAAGACTGTTGTATGTGGCAGAGTATTGGTCAGTTAAGAACTCATGTTCAAAAGATGATAGTGGAGGAGATGTTGAGGTGCATGTATGTAAGAATGAAGATCTCCCGGACAAGGTGGGAGTGAACTCTATGGTGGACAAGTTGAGGAAAGCAAGACTCAGATGGTTCGGGCATGTGAAGTGGAGGTACACAGAGGCCCCAATGAGTATGTGTGAGAGGTTGGCCGTAATGGGTTTTAGGAGAGATAGGGGTAGGCCTTTTTGGAAGAGGTGATTAGACAACATATGACTAATCTCCAACTTTCCGAGTACATGACCTTAGATAGGAGGTTATGGAGGTTGCGGATTAGGTTAGAAGGTTAGTAGGTAGTTGAACATTGTCTCGTTTCTGGACGGGATAGGCTTGGTGGTAGTTTGATGTATTGTACTTGTTTCCTGTTCATACCAGTGGTAGCATCTTTCTCGTAGTTGTCTGTCTTATGATTTAATTACTCCTTATTTACCGTGCTTCAATTATCAAATTAGTTGGTTATTGTTATCGTTCCTATTTTTTGAATGATATGTATGCTTTCTCGATTATTTTTTATGTCCTCTTTATGTTTTCCTTTTAACTACTGTGATGTGTGTTACTTGAGCCGAGAGTCTTTCGAGAATAATCTCTCTACCTCCATGAGGTAGGGGTAAGGTATGTATACATTGTACCCTCCCCAGACCCTGCTAATGGGACTACACTGAGCTTGTTGTTGTTGTCTTCTATGTGAAAATTTATCTTACTATGTTAATAAGTTATAATCCTCATTATGAAGATGGAAAATCTACTTGAGAAGGTAAGAAACAGGGATAGAGACACTTGTTTGTAAATCCTATTGAACGAGGAAGGCAATACAAATTTAATTAAGAGTTTATCCAGAATTAAGAGTTGTGGATGTAGCGGGATTGTACATAAGAGATGTATAATTAGGGTTTGCTTCTATGTAATTCAGGTTGGATTTCATAGAATCTTAGAATAGTTTTAAACTTTTTTAAGCTGCTATGTTTAGCATTTGTGTTATGTTACAGGCCTTTCTATTTAATTGGGGTATTCTTTCAAGTTTTGTAGTCTTTGAACAACAAGAACAGGGTTCCCAATTAGCTTTCAATAGTTTGTGTTGCAGAAGAGAAAAAATTACCATTTGATTGCTTGTCTACTTGAATTTCTTGGGAATATCAAACCCTCTAGTTGCGACTATCATATTGGCTATTGATGTTCTTATTTCTGCTATTTTCTGTACCAATTTGTATCCCAATCAGTGATGTGATCGCTATATCAACAACGATTTATTAATATATTTTTATTGTCAAAATTGCAGCTGTCAATCGGGCAATCAAAATGGCCAATCATGACAAAGATAAAAAATTGAACATCATGCGTGGATTTTTCTTTTGGTTAGAGGTGAAGGCTATT